ATTTGGGGTCGATGGACAAAAATTCGCATAGCGGGTGGAAAAAAGAATTTAGAACAATTCTAACTGCAATTTTGTAGTGAGGATAGATAGTACTTTCGATGATAGGAATATAAAAGAAATCTATTTTTCGAGCCCAGATCGAGTGGCACGCTGTTACAGAGACGCCCTCTTAATATTTTGATAAGTGGACCTACCCTTGAATATCTAACAGTCTATAATCAAGGCCACGAGCCCGCAGTATTATTGTCAGCAGACAGGCTGGTGCTCATTCCTTCTCGTACGATTTTACCTCAAAAAGTAACGCCTGGTTATTTTGTGTTATTAAGAACCCAGAATCAACCAAGGTTGAATACGCCCTCAAAAATGTTTCGATGTGGACTTTTAGTAATCAATCCTTCATGTATCAAGGCTTCTATACCACAGATTATCAAGGTAGCGTCTAAAGATATCAGGGATGTATTATACGTTGATTTATTCAATTCCAAAGCGGCTTGTCTCTCGACTACTTACTCTCTTCTACTTCAAGTTTATGGAAGGAGTCACCGTAGTCTTGGTAATGTGGACATCAAAGTTCTTCTCCCAGAGCTGGGGCAGCCCAAACCTAGAGTATTGTCCAAGCAGCCTGATATTACTCTTGTTGTTGATTTTCCTGAGTCCAGTGAGGAAGATAACACGTTGGATAACATCAAGACTTGGATTAATGAGCGTTTTTGGGGTCTCTCAGAAGTCCAGTCCAGGATTGTGCACTTGAATAAAGACCTGTCTTTGCTGTCTTCAGAATCTTCAATCGATTTGGCTAGTATTCCTTCCTTGAAGGTCTATGATGAGGTTGCTTTGGGAGGGACATTTGATCGCATTCACGACGGCCACAGGTTACTTCTTGGCGTAGCTTGTCTGTTGTGCGAGAGAAAGATCACTGTGGGGCTCAGCGATGGACCTTTACTTGAGAGAAAGGTATTAAAGGAGCTTATTCAGTCGTTTGAAGAGAGAAAAAGGATCGTTGAAGAACTGATTGAAGATATCAGACCAGGTATCAATAAAGCTTCTTTTTAATTTGAATCCACCTCTTTACCTTGGTAACAATGTTTCCCATTTCAGGCCACATGTCATTCTCTAGAGAATAAGATACTTTGTTTGAGTTGTATTCATATTCATGTGTCTTCTCATGCACAACTGTTAAACAAAGAAATGATACTCTAGGGAATGACATGTGGTAATGTATGAAATGGGAAAACATTACTCCCAATCTAAATAGATCTATTTGTTGACACAGATGTCAGGGTTCCCTAAAGAGGATCTATATCCAATTTCATAGCCTAATAAGCCTGAAGCAAGATGATGTTTTACCCCAGTCTCTAGATCATAATCCTTTTCACATTGCTTTGGTTCTTTAAGTATGACTATTGTTCCTGTATTCTCTAAGGAATCAAAAATTTTAATATGAAAAAATTTTAAAAACTATTATGGTATAGAGTCGGAGGTAAAACGTCATCTCACTTCAGGCTTATTCTTGTCAGAATATTAGTTCCAGTGATGGATTTTTGAGAAATATGCTTATAACCTATATTTCAAAAATCATAATTCCCATTCGCAGTACTTCAAATCCCATATAATTTTTGGTTACTATAAGCAAATAATCCCAGTTCTCATTTGTACTGTTCAGATCCCTCGATAGAGAGATTACATTGTAGGCTGTCTTATCATAGACTGTTTTCTTTGGTACTACACAATAAAAATTTTGCCAAATTACGGAGATGTGGTAGAGTCTGTCATACAGCGTAGGGGCTGAGGAGGGCAGTGTACCATTTTCCTACCAACACACATATGCGTTTCATTTTTTTAGTTTCCTGCCATATTCACAGGATTAGCAAAATAGCGGCCTGCCAATGGCCAAATTTCAGGTTTGCCAGGCAAAAATAAGGATGCACTGCCAAATGAATAATAAAATGGCATGCAAAATTTGCCGAAATGACCTCCTTTTACCATGCTCCTTTACTATGGCAGGCTAAAAAACATTTCTATTTCAAGCCCTGATGTTTCCCCCTTGACTAGCAATGTCACTGTTCTAAGAGATTTTTTAATAAATGTTTTTCTTTTCACAGGTCTGCAGCATAACATTGTTCCTCTGACAGACCCTATTGGGCCAGCAGGCACAGACCCTAACCTGAAATGCCTCATTGTAAGCAAAGAAACAGAAAAAGGGATAGCATTTGTAAATGAAGCAAGGCGAAAGAGCAGCCTTCAAGATTTAGAAGCACATGTCATTGACATTGTAACAGAGGAAACAGCCATGTTTACCCCTGGTAAAAGTGATGACGCAGAAAAGATGAGTTCTACTATTGAGCGGCATAAACTTCTTGGTAAACTACTAAGGCCAGTCAAGAGTATTCCAAGGAAAAGAAGCTCAGAGAGGCCATATATTATAGGGCTTACTGGGGGAATAGCCAGTGGAAAATCAGCTATAAGTAAAAGACTTGAAAAACTTGGAGCAGCAGTGATTAATTGTGACCTTTTGGGCCACCTTGCTTATGCCCCAGGAAAGAAAGCCTATGGCCAGATTGTAGAATCTTTTGGAGAAGAGGTCTTAGCGAATGATGGCACAATTAACAGAAAAGCTCTTGGCACTATCGTTTTTGCAGATAAAGATAAACTGAGTGAACTGAATAAGATTGTTTGGCCTGAGATTATGAATTTAGTAGAAGAAAAGATAAGCATCTTTGCAAGCCAAGGGGCACAAGTTTGTGTAGTAGAAGCTGCTGTTTTGTTAGAAGCTGGTTGGGATAGTGTTGTAGATGAAATATGGGTCACTTTTGTGCCAGAGGGTGAGGCAATAAACCGCATGTTATCAAGGGATAAGATGAATGAACAACAGGCTATCAACAGAGTTAGGGCACAAATGAGCAATGAGGATAGAGTTAGTCATGCACATGTGGCATTGAGTTCATTGTGGGAACCAGAGTACACGCAAAAACAGGTAGAGAGAGCCTGGAAAGGACTACAGGAGAGAATAACAGCATTGCCATCCAACCAATCTGCACTTTAACAGTTTTCACTTTCATTTTTTGTGTTCCTATATTGTCTGGCAAACAGTATTTAAAGAAGTTACCATAATCACGTTGACTCAAATTTTCCTTGACTTTCTATATTTTAAGATTTTTCATATTTTTTTCTTCTTAAAATAAATACAATGTATGAGGATACTTTATATATGAAATCTTGGGGAACTGGTAAAGCTCTAAATAAAAAGCTTTTAAATTTTGTTTTCTTTAGCTAATATTTTTTAAGGGGCTTGCAAAGTCATGACTAATGTTATGAAAAGTCATTTAGTTTCATATAAAGATTCAATAATTTACAATGTTTTCTAGTAAGGGGCTTGCAAAGTCATGAACAAACTAAAATGGCAATCATGTCTGTATTAGTGATATTAAATACCAGAAATCATATTTTAAAAGGGTATATTAAACCCAGATCTCTAAAGGCTACTTCACAAGTTTTCACTAGCAATGTACTATATTATGTATTACATACACAAAAATAAGAATACAGTAAGCTCATTTTCACTGTTGAAGAAACCAATTGGAACATATTCAAGGGGGTTACTGTGTGTTACTTAAAGAAGGCATCACATAGTGTCCCTTTTAGGTCTTAACCTATTTTTTCTTATTATTTTCAACTCCAGAAGTTATGTGTCTAGTCACCTGATCCCCCCCTTGTCCTTGTCTAGGCAGAAGTCAAAATAAATAGAAAACATTTTGAATCTAATCGTGTTGGTGTTTGCTTTATGCTTGCATTGCTAATCAGTGCTACGCCTGAGCAAAGAAACACGTCCAGGGAGATAATGGCCACATCTGTGCTTAAGAACACTCTGGGATAGAAATGCTAGAGCACATTGACTGAAGATAGTATGCAATGATGTCTCCTACAACAGATGGTCAGTTTGCTTCTTCTTGGACAGCTAATCAAGTCTTCTTATAGAATAGGCTCAGTACCATTCCAGTTTATCACTGCCTTCTTCCATCTACAAAAGACACATGTCAATAAATGATATAAGAATACAACTGACACACAGCTGGGTTAAGAATAATGGCCAGTTATTGGACAATGTCTGAACAGAATCGTACTTGTACAGTCAAATCCGTGCTGGTCATTTTAATCAGCAACGTTAAGCCAGAAACAAGATATGACTGAGTGAGGCAAATCAAAATTGGCTGGTCATCATGACTGGTGACTGCTAGCCATTATTTTTAACACTGGATACAAGCATGTTTTCCTGATGATATCAAGAGTGGTATAAGGCATGGATACAGGATAGTAGAGTACATACCTTGTTCTTATGACATGTTCCAAAGGAGGCACTAGTTCTCCATCCTGGTAGTCTGGACATTCCTGGCTTGTATCTGTAAAAGAATGAAATTAGACAAATTTTGTTAATTAATGATCAAATACAAATAAATAATTTAAGGTGACTGCCTACTTTT